TCGCATGCGCAAATGAGCGCATCAGCAATAGTATTAAGATGCCCATAATTGACTGCATAAGGAATTTTTAAAAAATTCTTCATTTTACAATGATAATACCGAATGGCTTGAACGGAAAGTTCAGGGCAGGGTACGTGTTGATAGATATGACTTAGACATAACGCGGTTAAAGATGATTGAAAAATAACTATTAACAGTTAAGTTGATACTAATTAATTAAATTCAGTATTAATATAACTGCTAACAGTTATTTTCAATAAATCTTTAACCGCGTCATTAGGGGTTCTACCGTGTAATATGAAAATCCGACAATAAAGACGCGCGTGGGATAGGTCAGATTCACGATGTTGCCGCCGCGAACGCGCGCATCGTCCGAAAGTAATTTCTACTCGATTCAAAAGTCTTTCTGCTCGTGCACCACGTGTAACCGCACACGACGATAGAAAGTTTCTCGAGAGAACGCGCCGAGGAAAATCTACGAATCGATTAACTAACGGCTCGCTGTCATGCGGTTGTTCCGCGAAACTATATTCGCTCGTGACGATGATCTCCCGCTCCGAGCGAATCGGCTTCATCTTCGTTCGTTACACGCGCGATGCCTTTTCCTGGGATAACGTAAGCGCTCGCAGAAATAGCATCGGCAAGGGACGATAATTGTTGAATGAAGTCGATTAGTCTGCCTCAAGTGGCATAAATATTTCTCGGTGGAGAAATTTTCATCAAGCGCATTCGCGGAACGAACAGTTCGTCGGTGAACAAGGTTTCTTGTTAGGTCGAATAAACTCCTTGCCGTATGATTTTCATCGTGACTATATTTTTCAGGTCCTTTTTCATATTAATTATTTCTAGGAATGCAAATAAATGTTGTATTCTTTGTAAGTTTCAATGTAAAATAAATATTTACTTTGAGGTTTAGCAATGAACGTAATTCCTTGTTACGTTGAGTTAACTCTTTACCGTATCATTTTCGTCGTGATTATATTGGTCAGATTTAATCTAATACTATGTAATTATCTGTGATAATATTAATAATCTGAGTATAAATGTTTTATTCCTTGTAATCTTTAATGTAACATATATATTTACTTCGAAGTTTGTTAGTTATAGTAATATAGTAAGATATAGCAATTCCTTGTTACGTTAAATTACCCCGTTGCCGTTTGATTTTCATATTGACATATCGTTAGATTTATTTCATTATTAATAATTGCCAAGAACGTAAGAAAATATCTATTCATGGTAAGTTTCAGTACAAAATGAATATTTACTTCGAAGTTTATCAATGAAAGCAATTTCTTATTAGATTTAATTACTCTTTGCCGTATAATTTTCTTCGCGACCATATCCGTTAAATTTATTTTACCATTAACAGTTTGCGATAACGCAAAGAAATTCATTGCAAATACTCATTTGTCTTATAAGCCGGAGTGTTAATTATTCGGCTTACAATTAAATCAAATCCAGTAGCGCCTCGCGCAATTGATTTTCTCACGTCGTGAATTTCTGATTGTTCCATTGTTTAAATACAGTTTTCTTCCTGTTCATAAAATCCCCTCAAGGAAAGGACGTTGTACAAAACACTATTTGAACCGAAGAACCCATGTAATTTGATCGCATATAATTCTACGTTTTACGAACGAGTGAAAAAGTAATTATATTAAATGTAACTGTGAACTTATTCACGTTGCAGCCCAATATTTGCTGTTTATTATCCCCGGGGAAACATTCTATTATAATTTAATGGGAACCACGAAAGACAAATAAGAATCCCGGGGAAAAGTTCTCGTCGCTGTTCCGGTGGATCGTAAAAAAGAAATTAAGCCATCACGCTTCCAGATTGTTTAATATCGTTAACGGTGCTATAAATAGCCCAATCAAAGGAGCCAAGAAGTGGGCGAAACCGAGCACAATATGCACGTTAACCGTAAGCGAACAGAAAACTGCACAGGTACCGGATGCGTTTCATGAATAGGCCCATTGTGCTGAAGGGATTGGGTCTCTGAGATAACTGCACACGTTCATTGTATCCGGTCCACATACACGCCGGCACAATAAAAGAAAAAGAAAAATGTTGATTATTGCAAGACGTATTGTATGTAATACTCGCACGTCCGCGTAACGCAATTTCCTCGATCGCAATCGATTCCGAATTATCGATTGATCTGTTCGACAGACGTTTTTTAACTTATGCGCCGGTAATGCAACGTTATATCCGCATCGAGCGATGAACTTACTGGATGTACCAATATGGAAGTTAACTCCTTGGTTCGTGAATTATTCCTCAACTATAATCGATAGTAACTTACTATGTAATTAATAATTACACTGCCCCAAAGTCCTACTTTGTAATTAATAATTTATTGGAACAGACAAATTCTATGTATATTCTATGCTTATGTTTGCTCTATAGTATAACAAATGATAGCAGACGAATGATATTTAATCTGAATTCAAAAGAACTGATTAATATTTATATTTGTTAAAATCTGTTTGAAATCTTTACCGCGAGTCTGACGCGTTATTATAATGCAAGGGTTATTATATCTTATTTTACTATATTTTACACAAAGAAAATTAAATTAATCATATAAGTATTGTTACTTAAAGTTATAAGATACGGCATTATATTTAAGAACTGAATGAGTTTTGGTTTTGTTTCTTCGTGTATCGTTGTTTTTTTCTAATTGGAATTTTTAAAAACGTCATACTTACTGGTTAGTGATAAACAATTTACAGTTTTCGTTGTATTCTTATAATTTGCTTAAAATTGTATAGGCCTGATTTTTTGGTTCAACTTTCAGTTCAATTTTTTATGGATTTTATATTTCTCTTTCCTATACAATGAATTATGTATTTATGTATTTGTTATTTCATGAATGAATTCATATGTTTATGTTTCTCGTGGTACTTCACTTTTATTTTATTTACGTTAAAATAAATGAATTTCATTAAATATTTAACTGTCTAAATTATGCAGATTTTCATTTGTTTTCGATTTTCACGGTTTTACATAAAAAATCCACGATTTCGATTTACACGATATTCAAAGGAACCGATCTTCCGTGTAAATCGGGGGATAGGTATATTTTAAATTATAGCGATAAAGTTTCGTCTTAGAAACAAACTTTCGACGAACATTTCCGATAAATGTCACGTTGCAATTAACGTATTCACGTCTCCGCATACAGACGAACAACCACGTTGACCTAATTGGTTGCCATGCAAATGTCAGTGGTCCTTCGACTTCACAAGTCGTGCAACCAGTAATTAAATGTTGAATGAAAAAGGCACAAGTTTCCGTCACACGTAACAAAATTAGTTTCCAAGTGGAGTCTAATGGAGAATCAAATTCTAAGAATAACGACACTTAAAATTAGGGTTGAACACTGTTATAATCTCAACACTTTTATGAATAAAAGTTAACCATCGAACTTTTAACATTTAATTAATTCCTTTTCTGTTTTCAATTAATAAATTATAAGTTAGTTGAATTATAAGATTTATAATCTATTTAGTTTATAGAAATTTCCTTTTTCTATACTTTGACCTCTGTTCTATACTTTAAAGATTAATAATTGAAATAATGATAATAATTGAAAAAGTGAGAAAATAATTGAACAATTTTAACAGTAGAACTAGCGAGTATTTGATATTATCAGTATGTAATGTTTATAAAAATTGTAACAATATACTTTTCTTGGTTTTTTCATATGTTTATTATAGTATTTAAGTGTAGCTATTTATTTTTTAAATCATTTCAGATATTTAATACTTTTAAGGTATCAACAATTATGAAATAAGGAAATTGAAACTCGTCATTTTGACAGGTGCGGTAGTTTTAGTGTTCATTATCATTCACCACTGATACTTGATTAACACTTATTTCTTCGTAATTAATTCTTTCAACTGTTCAGATAGTCGAATTTATCGTTTACTTAACGATAAAAAATGTCTAATATTTATTCCATGCTGAATGCATTATAATACTATTATGATAAAACTAAACATTTCAAACAAAAAGAAATAATTTTAATTATATTAAACAAAATTCTGATTTCATTCTCAACCATACGAAAAATTCGATATTATGTTATTTATTATTTATTCATTATTATTTAAGCATTTTCCTACCCACAAATTTATAATAATGTATAAGTTTACTGGAAAATTCTGTCCGATAATTATCATCTCATGTTTTCAAAAATCATTCTATAGAAATGCAATCCACAAATTGCTATCGCTACTGCTATTTAAAATGTATTATTTTAGATTAATTAAAAAACGGGCAGAACTTTCCGATAGATTTAACATTTTATACAAATAATTCTATACATAGTAACAGGGAGATGTAGTTACCACAGTAGATAAGCTAGAATAAGTTATATAGTTGGATATTAATGGCAGGACATGGAAATGCAGGAAAATAAGCATGAAAGTTTAAAAATTCTTATCTAAAGTCTATTTCTAGGCTGACGAGGCCGAAATTATATAAATCATATAAAAATATAATAATTATTATATTCTACAATAAAATTTTAATAATATAAATTGCTAAATATCATTAACAAATGATTGAAATAATAAATTATAATTTTATATTAAAATTATACAATAGTTATACAATATAATTTTAATAATATAAATTAATAAATATCATTAACAAAATAATTAAATAATAAATTATAATTCTATATTAGAGTTATATAATAATTATATAATAGAATTTTAATAATATAAATTAAGGAATATTATTAATAAATTGTAATTCTATATTAGAATTATACAGTAATTCTACATTAGAATTTCATTAATATAAATTAATAAATATCATTAACAAATTATTTAAATGAATAAATTAAAATTCTATATTAGAATTATATAACAATTATATAATATTATAACTTTAAAATAATTTTATAAAATTCCATAGGAATACTTTTCCATTCCTATAAAAACGAAAGGCTTAAGCCGGACACTAACTACGAAGTGGAATTTTCCAGAGGGTAAGGTCGAGGTGTCGCGGGACGGCAAGTACTTGAGTACTCTCGCGCCGGGAAAGGTACTCGGCGAGCTAGCAATTCTTTACAACTGCAAAAGGACAGCGACGATAACAGCGGCCACCGATTGCCAGCTGTGGGCCATCGACCGGCAATGCTTCCAAACTATTATGATGAGAACTGGCCTCTCGAGGCAGGCCGAGTACACGGATTTCTTAAAGAGGTAAAATAATTCTTCTTTTCTCTTTTTCTGTTTATTAACCATTATGGTTTCTTTCACAACTGCAAAGCTATTTCTTTGTTCATAATTTATTAGAAAAATACAAAAATTCTACTCCTAGTCTACGTACGTTTAATCGGAAGTATACCATTAACACTTAGGCAACCACCGAAAGGAAACTATAATTGTTATTAATATATAATTGTAACTTTAATAATAATATCTATAACTTAACATTTGTATTTACAAACGTCACTTAATCCTTTCAAGTTCATGTTGATTATTATTTTGTTATTATTAACACTTAACACTGTTTCTACCGAAAGTGTCAAAGGACACCTTTTAAAATTTCAACTTAAAATTTTTTTCTTAGTTTAATCATTTCTCCTCAATTGATTTTAGACATTTCCTATAGCCAATTTTATAACCGTTATTAGAATAGTCGAAAAGTCAACTCTGAATATACGACTAAACTTGGAAAATAATTTTAAGTGAAAATTTCAGAAGATGTCGTTGAGCACCTTCGGTAGAAATAGTGTTAATCAACCGAGTGGGAAGATCTCCCACGTTTCTCTTAGCAACCATTTATTTTCTTCATTTTTTCTTTTATTATTTAGTAATTCTTAAACTGGAGATATTTCCAATTCAATAAATACCGTTCTTGCTTTTGCAGAACACAATTTTTAATCAAATCTGTTGAGGGAGCTAAATTAAAGTTAATTAAAAAGTTTTTGACTATAATTTTTCTAGGTGGTTGCCTAAGTGTTAAAGAGAAAAGGAACTTTAATAACACTCTTCTAACGTTTGACCTGAGGGTGTCTAATAAATGTCTAATAATACATTCGGCGGGAGAAATAATTTCGTGTCTTTTAATTTCTTGGCTCGATAAGCTGTAAAACTATAAATTCATAGAAACATCCGTAGTACGCTAATTACATTTAATAACGGATTAAAATGACGATGACTGTCTCCGGTGGAAACAATAAATCAACGGCTGTACCGGCAGAGAGATGAGCCACGCTCGCTGGAAAAGCCATCTGTGTAAATAATAGGCAAGATGGATGGTTCCGCCAGTCCGTTATTAAGGAATCTCTTATTTTCTTACGCCCCCCTCGCCTGCATGGGGTCACGACGAAACGAGATCCATTAGTCACAGACGAAATTAATAAATCTCAATTCTACTGTTGCACCAGAAATAAGTTTCACTTCAGTCTGATGTTTCCACTGTACTTATATCCTCGAGCATACTTTTTGCGCGCCGAAAAGAGACAAGTATGGTTTTTTAAAAACTGGATAATTTACCTTCCATTAAATTGTAGCTAAAATTTCTTATATGTATCTTACATATTTCTTACATATTTCTTAATAAAGCTCTATGTGACCTATGTTTGTATAACATTTTTTTTCTTATTTAGTGTATTAAATAAGTATTTCTTATTTATAATATATTACATAATAATATAATACATATATATACAGGGAGTCCTAGGTTTTAATGTTCAAACTTTGTTAGTGTATTCTATGGCACTAAATAAGAAAAAAATGTTATACAAATTTAGGTCACATAATATAATATCATTTTCAAGAAACAAAATGAAATTATTCGTTAATTATTAAGTTTACGGCTAATAAATGTCTGCACTCTTTTTCTCAAAATTTAATGCTGTTCGATATTTTGGCATAAAAGCTATTGCCATATTTTCCATTTAAAAAAACGAAGTTAATCTTCAAATCTCCGATACGTCTCCATTTACAAAAAAGATATGCAAATATCTGTATCGCATTACATAATGCATCCCTTCAAACCATAAAACTTTTCTATAAAAAGTTTTTTCATACAATGAGGGTCAACAAGTTGCGTGGACCACTCTGTGCAAATATTTATTATATATATAGAGAAAGAGAAAGAATTTTATTGGTGCAAAACGATATTTTTAACACACAATCTTATTTTACAACGCACAATAAAACAATGCATCAAAATCAAATCACACGCACAATATATGCATTCACTTTCATTCATTCATTTCACTCCCATACTTTCTAGAACATTCTTTCGTCGCCATACATTAACTTTACGTTTGGAATATTCTACATTCATTTCCCATGGATGTACAACTTAATATCTCAGAAAATCAATAATCTAGTATATTCTAGATTTATTTTCCATAGATATAAAAATTAATATCTCAGAAAATCAATAGTCTAGAATATTCTAGATTCATTTCCCGTGAATGTAACAATTAATATTTCAGAAAATCAATAGTATAGAGGGTCTCAAGAATAAATATACTTTTGAGATTTTCTTTATAGCGCAATAAACCGTTGAAAGCGTCCAAAATAATTTGCATTATGAAAATACTCTAACGTCTTGAACATTTATTCATATTAGACGCTTATGCATAATCGCAGCGTTCATCTATTCACGCACACTCGCCTATAACTCCTGGTCTATTCTAAAATTGTATGATTTCCGAATTCACCTGAATGATGCGTTGGAAATTTGCCATAAAATAAACATTTATTTTCTGCTTGACATATCGAATGAACCGAATTTTGTTCGATCTGTAAAACTGAAAAAGGTTTCATGGGATAACAGAATGCAAAATATTTATTTATTTATTATTTTAGAGTAATTAAATCTATTTATGTAGAAATAAGTGCATATATTGTTAATTTACAATTCCTTATTTTTTTCCAGCGTTCCTATCTTCAAAAACTTACCGGAGGAGACGTTAATCAAAATTTCGGATGTCCTGGAAGAGGTAATACTTAAATCGTATAGCTCTATTTTCTATGATTTTTCTGTATAATTTAATTTCGTAATTTACTTATAATTGTTAAATATATTTATAAACTTCTAAATTTCCTATTAGCGATAGACGAATACACATGCTATCATGTAAATATTAGTACAATTAACAGAAGATTGCATATACATATTATTATTACATCCAATATGTATATACAATAATAAATAATATTATAATGATAATATAAAATTATTTATAAATATATATATCATTTATTATTATGCAATATAATAAATAATAAAAAGCATTTATTCAACGAAAGATATTAATTAATAATATAATAATAATATAATACGATTATTTATATGCATAATATAATAAATAATACTACACTTCACATATTATTTTTCATATTTTATCCCATTTTGTTCCGTAGACCTTCTACAACAATGGCGACTATATAATCAGGCAAGGAGCAAGGGGCGACACGTTCTTCATTATAAGCAGAGGTCAGGTGCGCGTTACGATAAAGCAACCTGACAGTCCAGAAGACAAGTACATCAGGACGCTAGGCAAAGGTGATTTCTTCGGTGAAAAGGCTCTGCAAGGGTAAATATACTTCTCAAACCCTCTTTATAACGCAATTAACCGTTAAAAGCGTCCAAAATAATTCGCATTATTAAAATGTCATTAAATAAACTTTAAAATTACATTCAAATTGCATTAATTTAATTTTTTTAATCAATAATATTATGTGCTAAGCATTTACTTAGTTCTAATAAAAAGTTGTAAATCGTTCTATGATTGAAAGGTTATTAACACATTGACTGCTACGAGAATTTCTAGCGTTTTATATAATAATACTTATTTTTTAGTAACAAAGAAAAATGGTATTGAAAATAATTATTAATGGTTTGAGATCACTGTAGTCATATTACACTATTATCTAGTTACTTATGTTATTAAATATTTTTATTTAACATCAATCTTTTTATTGCAATTGTTCTTCAGCAATTTGGAAGCTCCGGTCATCGGTGACCACCGTGATAGTCAAGGTGTTAAAAGAAAAAGGGTTACGTTAGACAAGCAAATAAATATTCTAAAACACTCGTATTTGTCATGAACCCGTTAAATCAACTATCTACAGGTTACGTAGATTGCTGCAAAAGTTTCTAGAATCCACGATCGTTCAGTTTATTATTTTCCTGAAGTTTCACATTTTTAAGTTTATAAAGCGACCCGACCCAATGAAAAATTCATTAATACTAAAGGAGAATATTTTAAAAAACAACAAGACTATTAGCTCAAACTTATTTGTAACTTTCCTCATTCTTTTCCAAAACACTTGCAGCAACCCACGTACAAGTGTCTTTTCACAGAAGTCGACTGATTCAACGCGTTGCTACAATTCGTATGAAAAGGAATATTTCGAATGTATTTGCAGAGATGATCTCAGAACGGCGAACATCATCGCCGACGATCCGGAAGGAGTGAGTTGCCTCGTGATAGACCGCGAGACGTTCAATCAGCTGATCTCGTCCTTGGACGAAATTCGTACGAGATACAGGGACGAGCTCGTGGAAGGAAGAAGGTGAGCATTGCTTTAAATTGGAGCCTTTATTTTTTAGATATCGTGAACATTCGATAATTGACTCCTTCTTAAAGTCGCCATACACAATGAAACATGCGACGATGCGTGGGTTTGAGTCTTTTTTACTTTTTGTATGAATGCAACGTGTGTCATGAAACTTTGGAAGACTCGAATTTATCACTTGTTGCAATGTCTGCATCGCCCCAGGTTTCAACGTGTATTGGGGTCTTAACACACCACAGCGCTCGACCACCGTCCGCAGTTGAAGGGTGTAATATGATCCGGCTATTGTCGAACTCGACAACTTCAACGTCTCTTTCTTCTCTATTCGCAGTCCTTTTCTATATCCGAAACTTCATTCGCTTATTATATAAGCAATTATAATCGTGATTCTATCGTGTTTGGTGTTATTTTCATCAGAAAAACATAACAAACATGATGGTGAAAGTTTCATTCGTCAAACATAAAAAATAAAGCAGTTTATGAATTAATTTCGCAAATTTTTGAATTAAAGGTCTCAAGCTCATTGCGGCCTTTAATGTTGCCGAACGCTTCGACTCTCAGTCTTTCTTTTCCTTCACTCGCGTTATCCTTTTCTAAAACCTTCGCTTCTTGGGGTTGATTCGACCCTATTTCTTCATAATTGGAATCTTCCGGTCCCGTTGAGTGTTGCAAGCATCCAATGTTCACTGTATCTGAGTAACTAAAATACTAATATTATATCAATTAGTAGATTTATAAAAATAAATAAAATTTGAGAGGGTTCTATTTCAATTCATAGGTAAATATTTAATTAAAGAGATTTTAGAATGGAATCGGTACCCAAGGTTTATATCGTTTATATATTATAGGTTCTGAATACTACTGATAAGTTATATGTTTATTAATTTTCTTCAAACAATGATTCTCGAATAATAATTAGATTATGTTATTCAATACGATTGCCGCTGCAAATTTTCATTAAGAAATCCTTAAGCATTGATTATTAATCTTCAATAAACTGTTCAATAACTAGTATATTATACATTAAATTAGTAAACAGCAAAATAACAATACGAAATATTACATTAACATTGGCATTGTAAGACAAATAGTAATATAATAGTTAAGTTCGTTCACTTTGAACTAACTAATCCTATTAGCTCGATTATCGATCCAGTAGTTATTATTATTAGTAACTTATCAGTAGTTCAATAATTTTAATTATTTCATAAGATAACCTGGTGCACGAGTATCGCGCATACCTGATTAAAAGAT